AACCCTGTCCCACTTCAGGGAAATCTTAGAGATGCCAGAAACAAAGCACTCTGGACAGTTATTTTGTGAGACAGGGGTCCAGTGACTCTCAAGCTGGTCCTAGTGGCATTAAAAGACAGAGACGGGAAGTAACCCCAGAGAAGGCTTTGCTACCTAAAGTCTTTATGGAGGGGGATTCCCCTTCCAAACACTAACTCCTCCCTCTTACCTCCTCCCTATCTTCCAGAATCTAGCATTAGCCTTCAATAAAGGTATGTAATATTTATATAACTGTTAAAAAAATATTTTTTTTTGTGAATATTTTTGTCTGGAATGGATTAATTGTATTTACATTAATTCTTATGGGAAATATTATTTTGGTTTTCGGCTGACCTTCTGGAATGGGTTACAGCTGATAACCGAGGGTCCACTGTACCTACTTACTGCTAGGTGAACCAGGACAGTAAGTTCCAGGTGCTCCACCACTCTCCTCCTGATAATCTTCTCCATGACTTTGCATACAATACATGTCAGAGACACTGGTCTGTAGTTTAGTGCCTTGTTTCTGTCTCCTTTCTTAACCCTTTGGGGTCAATAGGTCCTCTCAGAGACTTGTTCTCAGGGTCGGCCAAATTTCAAAAAAAAAAAAAAAATTGTTCTTATGAAAAGATAGAGAATCTTTTCCCGATCATAATGACACCAAAAGTATGAAATTGGATGGAAAACTTACGAAATTATGCTCTCGCGAAGTTAGCGGTCTCTGACTGTGTTGTCAGGCCGATTTCCCTTAACCTTTCTTCATAGGACATTCCCCTTAGCTCTGGAACTAACCTTGTCGCAAACGTTTGCACTTTCTCTAATTTCTTGACGTGCTTGATCAAGTGCGGGTTCCAAACAGGTACTGCGTGTGTGTGTGTGACCTAATTAATGTTTGCATTAATAACTCAATATGATTGTGACTAGATACAAACATGTAAATGGTTCATTACCTTTATAGGGGAATAAGTCTGTTGGGTATACCTGGTAAAGTGTATGGTAGAGTTATTATTGAAAGAATTAAGAGTAAGATGGGGTGTAGGATAGCAGATCAACAAGGAGGCTTTAGGAAGTGTAGACCAAGTGTTTACAGTGAAACAGTATTTAGATAAGAGTAAGCAGGTTTTTGTGGCATTTATGGACTTGGAAAAGGTGTATGACAGGGTGGATAGGGAGGGCAGTGTGACAGATGTTGCAGATGTATGGAATAGGAGGTAGGTTATTGAAAATGGTGAAAAAATTTTGTGAGGATAGTGAGGCTCAGGTTAGAGTATGTAGGAGAGAGGGAGATTATTTCCCAGTAAAAGTAGGCCTTAGAAAAGTATGTGTGATATCACCATGGTTGTTCAGTATATTTATAGATGGGGTTGTAAGAGAAGTGAATGCTCGGGTGTTGTCAAGAGGTGTGGGGTTAACCCTTTCAGGGTCCATGCCATAGTTCTACAGCTTTGAGTTTTGGGTCCAAACCGTAGTTCTATGCTATGAACTCAGCTCAGATAAACTGTGAGTGGTAAATTTGGGCCTAGATATGAGAGAATACATCTGTGTGGTAGGTGTGCACCACATAAAACAAATCCTGCAGCACACAATGCATAATGAGAGAAAAAAACTGAGACCGTAATTTTGGATTAAAAAAAGCGACTTTGCGGTGCTTTTTTTGTACGTTTTTTATACTTGCATTTGTGATTTCTTGGTCTCATTTGATAGAATGGAAGATATATAACAGAAATAGAAATGATTTTGATTGGTTTTAGTACTGAAAATGGCTTGAAACTGAGCTCAAAGTAGCCAAAATGTTAAGTTTTTGCCAGTGTTCAAGAGTAAACAAATGGCATCAAGTATCTAATATGCATCAGCTGGTGGATCTAATATACTTTCACGAATGTGGTGATATTATTTATAAAATTATTGCAATATTTCATTGCAGTAAATCTTCCATTTTTTGGTATGAATAAAAATTCATTATGTGAATAAAAAATCAAAATAGAATTCATTTGTAAAGCCTGAAAATATAACTAATGAACAGAGAAAATGTTAGTTTAGTGCCAGGAATGTCTGCATTGTTTATTCTGGACCCTATTTTGAAACTGGAATATATTGAACTTTGTGTTAAATTGGCCAAATTACCAATTTCCGATCACTTTATTGGGTAGTTGAAACAGTTGACTTGGTGATTTCTTGTGCCAAATCGATAAAATAGAAGCAATACTAGCAAAATGGCTAAGAATTTGGTCGACTGGAATGATGTAATTGGCCTAAAATGGGAGTCAGAGTCAGCAAAATCGCTGATGTGTAAATATAGTTGACACATCAAAATTCGTGAGAGCATAATTTTATCGATTTTCCATAAAATTTCGTATTTTTTTGTTTTATTACCTTCAGAAAAAGATTCCCTACCATTTCACAAGAAATTTTTTTTTTTTTTTTTTTTTTTTTTGAAAATTCTTGGACCCTGTGGACAAATCTCAGATTTTGGGTCTGGTCCCTGAAAGGATTAAAAGATAAAGAATATAACACAAAATGAGAGTTGTCACAGTTGCTCTTTGCTGATGACACTGTGCTTCTGGGAGATTCTGAAGAGAAGTTGCAGAGGTTGGTGGATGAGTTTGGTAGGGTATGTAAAAGAAGAAAATTAAAAGTGAATATAGGAAAAAGTAAGGTAATGAGGATAAAATTAAGTAACGAAAGATTGGATATCAGATTGGAGGGAGAGAGTATGGAGGAGGCAAATGTATTCAGATATTTAGGAGTAGACATGTCAGCAGATGGGTTTATGAAGGATGAGGTGAATCATAAAATTGACGAGGAGAAAAAGGTGCACTTAGGAGTCTGTGGAGACAAAGAACTTTGTGTGAATCATGAGTGGTAAATGTTGCAACAAGGAGAAGGCTGGAGGCAGTGGAGATGTCGTGTCTGAGGGTAATGTGTGGTGTGAATATAATGTGGAGAATTTGTAGTTTGGAAATTATGAGGAGGTGCAGGATTACCAACACTATTATCCAGAGGGCTGAGGAGGGGTTGTTGAGGTGGTTCAGACATGTAGAGAGGTTGGAACAAAATACAGTGACTTCGAGAGTGTGTAAATTTATAGTGGAGGAAAGGTGGGGTAGAGGTCAGCCTTAGGAAAGGTTGGAGGGAGGGGGTAAAGAAGGTTTTGTGTGCGAGGGGCTTGGACTTCCAGCAAGCAAGTGTAAGTGTGTTAGATAGGAGCGAATGGAGACAAATGGTTTTTAGGATTTGATGTGCTGTTGGAGTGTGAGGAAGGTAATATTTATAAAGGGATTTAGGGAAACTGGCAGGTTGAACTTGAGTCCTGGAGATGGGAAGTACAGTGCCTGCACTCTGAAAGAGGGGTGTTAATGTTGCAGTTTTATAACTGTAGTGTAAGTGCTTCTCTGGCAAGACAGTTATGGAGTGAATGATGGTGAAAGTTTTCCTTTTTCGGGCCACCCTACCTTGGTAGGAAACGGCCAATGTGTTAAAAAATAATAATAATAATAATAATAATAATAATAATAATGCCTTTGTACCTTATTCAGCCATCAAAACTTTGCAGCCCAGTCCCTGGACTCATTATATACCTCTGTAATCCTTTGAGTACCACCCACAGGATGAGTATGGGGTGCATAATAAAGATGTTAAACCTACCTTTCTTGCTGAGAAAGAGAAAAACCAGGAAAGATAGTATGTGTTCCTTCATGGCTTAAAGAAGGCTTGTGAGTCGTTGAGTGGAGACTGGAGAGTCAAGTGGTCAAGATGTGTTATGTGTTACGTGTTTTAACCAACGATGTATCCCTGATGACTTCCATGACTTAAATGCTCCCTAACTTTACTCTCACATTACAGACTCTTTACTGAGCTATTGATCTTAGCATTTATATATGTTACAGCTATTACTGCGACCCATTAAAACAGCAGTATAAGTGTAATATAAAGAACATAAAAATACATGTGGCAACTGTAGTGGACTCTCCTTGAAGTGTCTCTGGCATGAGGTTATCATTATTGTCTTCAGAATGATAAGATTATCTCAAGCATTGTTTATCATATCAATAAACATCCATTTGTAAACTTTCCTCCAGTAACTAGTTGCTCTTTACCAACACTTGTTAATGACAGTATTCACACTTACAAGGACCCCAGTGGAAATATGTCACTTTGTCTGACTTTTTTGGGTTATTCTGATGGGTGATTTACACATATGTTACTATGTATATATGATGATTTGTGTAACTTTATTTATGTGTACCTGTACCTAAATAAACTTACATTGTTAGAATGGTTTCTCTAAGTCATTTTCACTGATTCATGTTAGTCAGTGCCAGAGCAGCTGGGCTGTGGTTTGTATATTGGACTGTGCAGCCAGCAGTAACAACCTAATTGATCAGGTCCTGAGCCACTGGGAAGCCTGGTTATGGACTTGGCTGTGGGGGCATTGATCCCTGGAATACCCTCTAGGTAGACCACATAGTGGCAGTGACCATCACACAAGCCATGGTGGTTTGTGTCTGATGTGTTTGATGGTTCAAGAGTATCTGTGTATTTGGCTTCAATGAAATGTTCTGTGTATTGTTGTGTTTTGTTGTATGTTTACAAACAATGTTTGGCAGAATAATTATAATATGTATGTGGTAGTGTTCTTACCTCCCTCCCTCCCTCCTTATCTTCCTCCTTATCCTCATCTTCCTTATCCTCTGCCTTCTTATCTTTCTCCTCATCCTTCTTATCTTCTTCTATCCTCCTCCCTCCCTCCCTCCCTCCATCCATCCATCCATCCACCCACCTTTACCTGCTCCTTCTCTAACATCTCCCTGTGTATATATTTCATAAAGTGGTCTTCTCTCTCTATTCTTTGTGCACTTTGTATTTCTAAATCAATGTATTAGCTTCATTTGTGATTATGTATGCAGGTATTGTGATTATATATACAGGTACTGTATTTGATCTAAAAAGAAGATTGTTGTAATGGTGTCATCTTGTTTTAGGTGGAGTCTGTGCAGTTAGCCATACAGATCCTTGATGAGTACCAGGTGGGTAATAAGAAGATCCACGTTGAACAAGCCAAGTTCCAACAAAAGGGAGAGTACAATCCAAAGCTGAAACCGCGCAAGAAGCAAAAGAAAGTCTTAGAAAAAATCCAGAAACGACAGGAAAAGTAAGCCTTTTTGCCATGAGGGTTTTGAGTCTGGTTCTGGTACAGTAAGTCCTCAATTTATGAGCACATTGAGAACCTTCTGTATTGTGTATACAATATCATTATTATATCATTATTATACACAATTCATGGGGTCCCCAATGTGTTTGTAAATTGAGTACTTACTGTATTTACACGTGATTCTCAACCTGGGATGGGGTTACATTCCAATGAACCCACGTTAAGTCAGAAATATTGTTAGTCGAATATGAATGTGACGTGCTAAACAAATAAATAAATAACCACTGTCACTGAATAAGTAAATAAACAAATAATTACTCTAACTAAATACCAGTATTGAAAAGTAAATAAATGAATGAAAGTTGTGGACTTGTTGCCTTCATCCTGGGTAATTATCTTTAGTTTCATCTCTAAAGTAATTTCTTTTGCACAATCGTAAAGTTGAAATATAGTAAGTCGAACCATCATGAGTCAAGGATCACCTGTAATTGATAAAAAGAGCTATTCATTATATTTCAGTTATTTATTATAATGATTGGCATAAAAATTTGGTCCAGTAATTTCTTTATCTTGTAGGTTATTTGACTGGCGACCTGAGCCTCTGCGAGGCCAACGGCAAAAGAATGAAAATACAGTAGTGATTCGCAATGCATTTGACCCAAAAGAGTTTGTGGATGCTATGGAGAAAATATTGGTTCATAAAGATGCCCTAAGAAATCAGTGTGAGAATTTTGGCAAAATAAAGAAAATGGAAATGCATGATGTAAGTTGGTATAAAGTAATGGATTGTTGGTTTATCACTGTTGTATTGTTTAGTTATACACATTGTTGGTTTATCACTGTTGTATTGTTTTAAATATACACATTGTTGGTTTATCACTGTTGTATTGTTTAGTTATGCACATTGTTGGTTTATCACTGTTGTATTGTTTAGTTATATATACACATTGTTGGTTTATCACTGTTGTATTGTTTAAATATACACATTGTTGGTTTATCACTGTTGTATTGTTTAAATATACACATTGTTGGTTTATCACTGTTGTATTGTTTAAAAATACACATTGTTGGTTTATCACTGTTGTATTGTTTAAATATACACATTGTTGGTTTATCACTTGTATTGTTTAGTTATACACATTGTTGGTTTATCACTGTTGTATTGTTTAGTTATACACATTGTTAGTTTATCACTGTTGTATTGTTTAGTTATACACATTGAGGTTAAGATTTTACAACTATATAAAGTTGAGAGAATACTATAATAGCAAGCTATGTGATATATAAATACTACATATAGTTGTATTTATTTGCCTCTTTAAAGCAGATGAAATGCATTAATAATTTAGAGTTTTCCCTTAAAGGTTAGGTAAGGCTTGTCAGGAAACAGGACAAGTGTTTAATGACACCTGACAGATGATGACTCACCATTGGAGCTTCTGATCATCTGACTGAGGCCTTCTGCTGGCCTACCAGTTCACCCCTTTAAAAATTACAGTCATAGTTATAACCAAATGTAAATATGATAATGATCACAGCTATGTACACAGTACTCCATGTACATAACGTTCTTACACTTTTCATAACTTTCAACTTTAACCCTTACAGGGTCGAGAGGCCCTCTCCTAAACTTGTTCCCAGGGTCGAAAATTTCTCAGAAAAAAATAATTTTTTCTTATGAAAAGATAGAGAATCTTTTCCCGATCATAATGACACCAAAAGTATGAAATTTGATGGAAAACTTACAGAATTATGCTCTCGCAAAATTAGCGTTCTTGACGATGTTTATGCATTGGCGATTTCGCCCACTTTGAGCCCTATTTTCTGCCAATTCCAGTGTACTAATCGACAAAATCATAACTATTTTGCTAGAACTCCACTTTTTCTGTCGAGTGAGTACAAGAAACCACCCATTTACTAATTTCAACTATCCAATAAAGTGGTCAGAAATTAGCAATTTTGCCAATTTCACACAAATTTCAAATGATGCCAATTTCCAAATAGGGTCAGATAAACTAAGAAGGACATTCCTGGCACTAAAAATAACATTTCCTCTGTTCATAGTCACATTCCAAGCCCTCTTACATTTCTTTTCTTTCCAATTTGAATTTTTATTCTCACAACAAATAGAAGATTTATGATATGCAGACTACGCATTAGTGTAGAAATGGTATAAATAATATCAGTGCATCATTGTGAAAGAATCTTAAGACTCACCAGTTGATGTGTATTGACGCGTGGCCATGAATTGTTTTACTTATGAACTTTGGTCAAATCGACCATTTCTGTACTTTGAGCTCAATTTCAAGGTACTTTTCTATGTGAAACAATCAAACTCATTCAGTTTCTGTATATGTCTTCCATTCTATTAAAATGAGACAAGGAAAACTAGAATAAACTATACATAGCATATGAAAATACAGTGCAAAGTCGCAGTTTTAAACCCAAAAAAACGGTCAAAGTTTTTTTTTTTTTCTCATTACGCACTGTGTGCTTAGTATTTTTTTTTATACTGTGCACACTGACCACTTAGGGACCCCATTCTGTCATCTGTAGGCTACCAGCTTTCTAGTCGGTAGATTTGAGTGTGCTAGAATTTACGCGTACTAGTCTGTCAATAACCTATCCATACTAGTATGTCGGTAACCTGAAAGGGTTTCCCATTGACTGTCGTCGGCTGTATATGTACGTTTACGATTGGTACCGTGTTTGACCATATTATTTTTTTTTTTTTTTATTATCACACCGGCGAATTCCCACAAGGGCAGGGTGGCCCGGAAAAGAAAAACATTCACCATCATTCACTCCATTTTTTTTGTGCCATGTCTTGCTGAGGGGTACTTACACTACAGTTTTTAAACTGCAACATTAACACCCCTCCTTCAGAGTGGCAGGCATGTACTTCCCATCTCCAGGACTCAAGTCGGGGCTGCCGGTTTCAGGAATCCTTCAAAATGTTACTTTGTACACTCCAACAGCACGTCAGTATTAAAAACCATTTGTCTCCATTCATTATCAAACACGCTCAGGCATGCCTGCTGGCAGTCAAGCCTCGCACACAAAACCTCTTTACCCCTCCTCCAACCCTTCTAGGCCGACCCCACCGCCTTCTACCACTACAGACTGATACACTCTTGACGTCATTCTGTTACGCTCATTCTCTCTACATGTCGAACCACCTCAAACATCCCTTCCTCAGCCTCTGCAGGACAACAGTTTTGGTAATCCGCACTCCTCCTAACTTCCAAATCTACGGAAATTCTCTGCATTATATTCACACCACACATTGCCCTCAGCCATGAATCTCACTGCCTCCAGCCTTCTCTCGCTGCAAGACATTCATCACCCACGCCTTCACACCCATATAAGAGCGTTGGTAACACTATATTCATACATTCCCCTCTTTGCCTCCAAGACAAGTTTCTTTGTCTCCACGGACTCTAAGTGCCACAACTCACTTTATTCCTCATCAAATTCTATGATTCACCGATTTTTCCATGACCATCCGCTGACACGTCCACTCCCAAATATCTGAATACGTTCACCTCCTCCATACTCTCTCCCTCCAATCTGATATTCAATCTTTCATCACCTAATCTTTTTGTTATCCTCATAACCTTACTCTTTCCTGTATTCACCTTTAATTTTCTTCTTTTGCACACCCTACCAAATTCATCCACCAATCTCTGCAACTTCTCTTCAGAATCTCCCAAGAGCACAGTGTCATCAGCAAAGAGCAGCTGTGACAACTCCCACTTTGTGTGTGATTCTTTATCTTTTAACTCCACGCCTCTTGCCAAGACCCTCGCATTTACTTCTCTTACAACCCCATCTATAAATATATTAAACAACCACGGTGACATCACACATCCTTGTCTAAGGCCTACTTTTACTGGGAAAAAATTTCCCTCTTTCCTACATACTCTAACTTGAGCCTCACTATCCTCGTAAAAACTCTTCACTGCTTTCAGTAACCTACCTCCTACACCATACACTTGCAACATCTGCCACATTGCCCCCCTATCCACCCTGTCATATGCCTTTTCCAAATCCATAAATGCCACAAAGACCTCTTTAGCCTTATCTAAATACTGTTCACTTATATGTTTCACTGTAAACACCTGGTCCACACACCCCTACCTTTCCTAAAGCCTCCTTGTTCATCTGCTATCCTATTCTCCGTCTTACTCTTAATTCTTTCAATTATAACTCTACCATACACTTACCAGGTACACTCAACAGACTTATCCCCCTATAATTTTTGCACTCTCTTTTATCCCCTTTGCCTTTATACAAAGGAACTATGCATGCTCTCTGCCAATCCCTAGGTACCTTACCCTCTTCCATACATTTATTAAATAATTGCACCAACCACTCCAAAACTATATCCCCACCTGCTTTTAACATTTCTATCTTTATCCCATCAATCCCGGCTGCCTTACCCCCTTTCATTTTACCTACTGCCTCACGAACTTCCCCCACACTCACAACTGGCTCTTCCTCACTCCTACAAGATGTTATTCCTCCTTGACATATATATACTCATAAATTCTAGCGGCTTCAAATCAAGAAGGAGAAAGCTGGTAGGCCCACATATGAGAGAATGGGTCTGTGTGGTCAATGTGCACCATATAAAAAAAATCCTGGAGCACGCAGTGCATAATGAGAAAAAAAAACTCCGACTGTTTTTTTTAATTAAAATGCCGACTTTGTGGTCTATTTTTGTATAGTATTTATAGTTGTATTCTCGTTTTCTTGGTCTCATTTGATAGAATGGAAAACATATTATTGAAATAGAGGTGATTTTGATTGATTTTACTATAAAAGAACCTGGAAATGGAGCTCAAAGTAGGGGAAATGTTTGATTTTTGCTGATGTTCAAAAGTAAACAAATGATGTCATTGTCCAATAAATGTCCAACTAGCCATTCTAATATGCAGTCATGAATGGGTTGATGTTATTTATACAATTATTACAGTATTGCAGTAGTCTGCATAATAGTAAATCTTCTGTTTTTTGTTTGAAAAAAAATTCAAAATATAAAGCAAGAGTAATATCAGAGGGGCCTGGAGACATGACTGATGAACAAAGAAAATGTTAAATTAGAGCCAGGAATGTCTGCATTGTTCATTCTGGACCTTATTTTGAAATTGTCATTTTTTTAATTTTCATGAAATTGGCCAAATTGCAAATTTCTGACCACATTATTGGGTAGTTGAAATTGGTAAATGGGCAGTTTCTTGTACTCAATCGATAGAAAAAATGGAGTTCTAAAGAAATAGCTATGAGTTTGGTCGACTGGAACAATAGAATTAGCCGAATATAGGGCTCAAAGTGGGCGAAACTGCCGATTTGTAAATATCGCCGAGGTCACTAACTTCGTGAGACCGTAATTCCGTCAGTTTTCCATCAAATTTTGTTTTTTTTGGTGTCATTACAATCGGGAAAAGATTCTCTATCATTTCATAAGAATTTTTTTTTTTTTTTTAAATTTTGCGACACCAGGAGACACCTCAGGATTGGGGGTTGCAACAGTCAAGGGGTTAAGCAAGAATCACTGTGAAATGATTCTCTGTTGGTGGGACACACTTTTTCCCATAACCACTTGCCTGTGGGTGTTTTTGTGTTACAATATGTTGCTGACTATGAAACATTTTAATTGTTTGTCCATAGCTTCAATCTTTTCGTTTCAGTTTTTTATTGTTTTATTATTAACCCTTTGACTGTTGCAACCCCAAATCCTGAGGTGTCTCCTGGTGTCGCAAAATATTTGAAAAAAAAAATTATTTTTCTTATGAAATGATAGAGAATCTTTTCCCGATAGTAATGACACCAAAAGTACAAAATTTGATGGAAAACTTACTGAATTACACTCTCAAGAAGTTAGCAACCTCGGCGATATTTACGAATCTGCGATTTCGCCCACTTTGAGCCCTATTTTCGGCTAATTCCATTGTTCCAAACGACCAAACTCATAGCTATTTCTTTAGAACTCCATGTATTCTGTTGGTTGAGTACAAGAAGCTGCCCACTTACTGATTTCAATTACCCAATAAAGTGGTCAGATATTGGCAATTTGGCCAATTTCATGCAAATTAAAAAATATACCAATTTCTAAATAGGGTCCAGAATGAACAATGCAGACATTCCTTGCTCTAAAATAACATTTTCTTTGTTCATCAGTCACGTCTCCAGGCCCCTCTGATATTACTCTTGCTTTCTATTTTGAATTTTTATTCAAACAAAAAATGCAGACTACTGCAATATTGTAATAATTGTATAAATAATGTCAACCCATTCATGACTGCATATTAGAATGGCTAGTTGGACATTTATTGGACAATGATGTCATTTGTGTACTCTTGAACATCGGAAAAAATCAAACATTTCCCCTACTTTGAGCTCCATTTCAAGGTCCTTTTCATAGTAAAACCAATCAAAATCACCTCCATTTCTATAATATGTTATCCATTCTATCAAATGTGACTACGAAAATGAGAATATAACCATAAAAAACTATATGAAAATGCACCTCAAAGTCGGCGTTGTAATCCAAAAATGCGGTCAGAGTTTTTTTTTCTCATTATGCGCTGCTTGCTGCAGGTTTTTTTTATACTGCGCACACTGACCACACAGACCCATTCTCTTACGTGTGGGCCTACCAGCTTTCTCCCGCTTGATTTGGAGCCGCTAGAATTTTTGAGTATATCGTCAGACACATTGGCTTGTAAGACGTATATATACGACCGAAACAGTCGAAGGGTTAACACATCGGCCAATTCCCACCTAAGCAGGGTGGCCCAAAAAAGAAAAACTTTCATCATTCACTCCATCACATTCTTGCCAGAAGGGTGCTTTATACTACAGTTATAAAACTGCAACATTAGCATCCCTCCTTCAGAGTCCAGACACTGTACTTCCCATCTCTAGGACTCAACTCTGGGCTGCCAGTTTCCCTGAATCCCTTCATAAATGTTACTTTGCTCACACTCCAACAGCACGTCAAGTATTACAAACCATTTGCCTCCATTCACTCCTATCAAACACACTCATGCATGTTTGCTGGAAGTCCAAGCCCCTCACATACAAAACCTCCTTTACCCCCTCCCTCCAACCTTTCCTAGGCCGACCCCCACCCTGCCTTCCCTCCACTACAGATTTATACACTCTCAAAGTCATCCTGTTTTGTTTCATTCTTTCTACATGTCCAAACTACCTCAGTATCCCCTCCTCAGCCCTCTGGGTAATAGTTTTAGTAATCCCACACCTCCTCCTAGTTTCCAAACTATGAATTCTCTGCATTATATTCACACCACACATTGCCCTCAGACATGACATTTCCACTGCCTCCAGCCTTCTCCTCGGTGCAACATTCATCACCCATGCTTCACACCCATATAAGAGTGTTGGTAAAACTATACTCTCATACATTCCCCTCTTTGCTTCCATGGACAAAGTCCTTTGTCTCCACAGACTCCTAAGTGCACCACTCACCCTTTTCCCCTCATCAATTCTATGATTCACGTCATCCTTCATAGACCCAACTGCTGACACGTCCACTCCCAAATATCTGAATACATTCACCTCCTCCATACTCTCTCCCTCCAATCTGATATCCAATCTTTCATCACCTAATCTTTTTGTTATCCTCATCATGTTGCTCTTTCCTATATTCACTTTTAATTTTCTTCTTTTACATACCCTACCAAATTCATCCACCAACCTCTGCAACTTATCTTCAGAATCTCCCAAAAGCAGTGCCATCAGCAAAGAGCAGTTGTGACAACTCTCACTTTGTATTTGATTTTTTATCTTTTAACTCCACACCTCTTGCCAAGACCCTCGCATTCACTTCTCTTACAACCCCAACTATAAATATATTGAACAACCACAGTGACATCACACATCCTTTTCTAAGGCCTACTTTTACTGGAAAATAATCTCCCTCTCTCCTACATACTCTAACCTGAGTCTCACTATCCTCGTAAAAACTCTTCACTGCTTTCAGTAACCTACCTCCTATACCATACACCTGCAACATCTGCCACATTGCCCCCCCCCCTTATCCACCCTGTCATATGCCTTTTCCAAATCCATAAATGCCACAAAAATTCTTTAGCCTTATCTAAATACTGTTTACCTATAGATTTCACTGTAAACACTTGGTCTACACACCCCCTACCTTTCCTAAAGCCTCCTTGTTCATCTGCTATCCAACTCTCCATCTTACTCTTAATTCTTTCAATAATAACTCTACCATACACTTTACCACATATACCCAACAGACTTTTTTTTTTTTCAACAAGTCGGCCGTCTCCCACCTAGCCAGGGTGACCCAAAAAGAAAGAAAATCCCCAAAATGAAAATACTTTCATCATCATTCAACACTTTCACCTCACTCACACATAATCATTTGTGTAGATAATGAACAATAATTTCTATAGAAGGTTTAATATATTGTGTTCTTTACAGCTACACCCAGATGGTGTTGTTCAAGTAACATTTGAGGAAGTGGAGTCTGCAGACATGTGCATAGCAACACTCAACAAGCGTCTCTACAACAAGAGAATCCTTCACGTGTCAGTCTGGGACGGAAGAGAAAAGTTCAAGTATGTATCAAGTGGTGGAAATGTTACTGTTGGGAGGGCCTTGTGCTATGACTATGCTCAATTGGGAGGGGTCTTGTGTCATACCATGCTCAGTTGGGAGGGTCTTGTGTCATGATCATGCTCAGTTGGGAGGGTCTTGTGTCATGACCATGCTCAGTTGTGAGGGGGTCTTGTATCATACCATGCTCAGTTGGGAGGGTCTTGTGTCATGATCATGCTCAATTGGGAGGGTCTTGTTTCATGACCATGCTCAGTTGTGAGGGATCTTGTGTCATACTATGCTCAGTTGGGAGGGTCTTGTATCATGATCATGCTCAGTTGGGATGGTCTTGTGTCATGATCATGCTCAGTTGGGAGGGTCTTGTGTCATGACCATGCTCAGTTGTGAGGATCTTGTGTCATGACCATGCTTAGTTGGAAGGGTCTTTCTTGTGTCATGATCATGCTGAGTTGGGAGGGTCTTGTGTCATGATCATGCTGAGTTGGGAGGGTCTTGTATCATGATCATGCTCAGTTGGGAGGGTCTTGTGTCATGATCGTGCTCAGTTGGGAGGGTCTTGTCATGAAAATGCTCAGTTGGGAGGGTCTTGTGTTATGATTATGCTCAGTTGGGAGGTTCTTGTGTGATGATTATGCTCAGTTGGGAGTGTCTTGTGTCATGATCATGCTCAGTTGGGAGGGCCTTGTGCCATGACTATGCTCAGTTGTGAGGGTCTTGTGTCATGATTATGCTTAGTTGGGAGTGTCTTGTGTCATGACCATGCTCAGTTGGGAGGGTCTTGTGTGATGATTATGCTCAGATGGGAGCATCTTGTGTCATGATCATGCTCAGTTGGGAGGGTCTTGTCATGATCATGCTAAGTTGTGTGGGTCTTGTGTCCTGATCATGCTCAGTTGTGAGGGTTTTGTGTCATGATCATGCTCAGTTGGGTCTTGTGTCATGATCATGTTCAGTTGGGAGGGTCTTGTGTCATGATCTTGCTCAATTGGGAGGGTCTTGTGTCATGATCATGCTCAGTTGAGAAGGTCTTGTGTCATGACCATGTCCAGTTGGACGGGTCTTTTATGATGTTCAAGCATAGTTGGAAGAGTCTTTTGTTATGGCCATGCACAGTTATTTACAGTTCACTACTTTTCAAGGGTGAAGAGTAGAAATTGGAGTCTCATAGCTCAGCAGTAAAGCCCTGGACCTGCTACCACCAGAGCCATAGGTCTATCCCCCACCCATTCTTCTGTTTAGTGCCAGATCAATCAGGCTGTGATGGATATGTGGGCCAGCAGGCCACTGGCAGTAACTGTTTGGTTGATCAGGCAAGCACCAGACAAGCCTGGCCTAGGGCCAGGCTGTGACAGTAGTAAAACTCTTGAAGTCTTTCAGAGGTATGTCAAAGGTAGCCTTCCCTTCATTAGGTCAAGTCTAATTGCCTCTCATTCCGAAGACACAGTATGACCCCCTACAGTTTAGCACTCTCCCTTGAATGTATTAATACAGGTATACCTTTCTAATACAGCTGGATAGATTCCAGACTACTGATGTAAAGCGAATATCGCTTTAAAGTGAGTCATAGCCTTTTTTTTTAATTGGCAGTGCATATAAAAGCCTGAAATGTTTCTCCATCATATATTGTGTGCAATAGCACTAGGCCTAAAAATGATGTAAAAGTAAAAATAATAATTAAAAATGATGCAAAAGTATAAATAATAAATAAAAAAATGGCACTGGTCAGCTGATGTGCACATCACTGCTGAAAATAACAAGCGAATATAATTGAAAGCGCTGTATTAGCGAAGCACCATATTAGCAATAATAACCTTAAGGTTTAGGATATATGTGAGAAGGAATTGCTAGTATGTAGAGTACTGTAAGAGGCAGCTCAGTTAAGAATAGTGTCACTTTCTAGAAACACACCCATTACACTGGGCAATACTTAGCCAAGACAGTCCCACAATATAATCATGTTAAACGTTAGTTCTTTCTTTCTTTCAATGCAACGGCCGTATCTCACCATAAATTCTAGTTATTCACATAAAAGACTAACTTCAGATAGAAAAATACAGTGGACCCCCGTTTAACGATATTTTTTCATTCCAGAAGTGTGTTCAGGTGCCAGTACTGACCGAATTTGTTCCCATAAGGAATATTGTGAAGCAGATTAGTCCACTTCAGACCCCCAAACATATACATACAAACGCACTTACATAAATACACTTACATAATTGGTCGCATTGGGAGGTGATCGTTAAGTGGGGGTCCACTGTATTCAGATCAGGAAACAGGTGGAGCTTGAACCCATGGCAGGCGAGTCAGAAAACTGGCAGGCCAATGTGCTAACCACTGGACCAGCTGGCTCTAATAGGATTCATCCAACTAGGTGTATTTCTAGGACTTGCCTACCATGGGTCCAATCCCTACCCATTCTTTGATTTGTTTGTAATTGTGTTATTACAGTTTCACGAGTAAAAAATATTCAGTCCTATATCTGATCAGTGCATTGTATAGTACTGTTATACAATGTAACTTTCACCAGTATAGTCCAGCATGCATCAAGTTGTGAGTGGATGGAGAAATATGAGGAAATTTTGGAGAGATTATTGTGTGGTTAATGGTGAGGTGGCCAACATCAGCTGACACTATTTTCCTGCTATATCCAACTCTTAAAATATGAAAAGAAGCAACCCAGATTCATTTACATTGAAGACCTGTGCTGTATAAGCACCAAACAAATTAAAATTTAAATTAAAATTTAATACTCATATTTAGTACGTATATAGTATAAAAAAAATATATAAACAGTAGGTATAGTTTCCAAAAACAGCAGCTTACTTTGACTACTGTAATTTTAACTTAATAATCATTATTGTTACAGCTGAACATTGTATGTATACTGTGTGTCCATTTTACATTGTCCAACATTGCTTCCTCACTCAGAGTAGAATTTTGGTCAAACTGACTGAGAAATTACTGTACTTTATATAACTTTCCTTATATGTATGTGTATTGTAATAGTTTTTAATCTTAATAATTTCTCTAATATTTTTCTTAGGATTGAAGAAACAGAAGAAGAACGAGAGGAAAGATTGAAGAGATGGAGCAAATTTTTGGAGAGTGGAGGAAGCACAGATGAAGGAAGCAAGTGAAGAAATATCAAGTAGAAATAAGGCAGCAAATGCTTCATACTTATGGTCAAGATTTTTGAAGAGGTAAACTTATCAAGGATGTTGTGGATAGTGCTTAAATTGCTTCTAATAATTGTGTGTCTCCATGGGGAAATGGAACAGAATTCTTCCACCGTAAGCTATGCATGTCGTAAGAGGCGACTAAAATGCCGGGAGTAAGGGGCTGGTAACCCCTTCTCCTGTATATACAGTGGAACCTCCACTTGCGAGTGCATCCATGTGTGAATTTTTCCAAATATGAGCAGTCGCTGGGCCGATTTTTTGCTTCCATATGCGAGTGAAATTTCCATAAGCGAACAGGCCTCAAGGGAAGTTCCTTGACGCTGGTGAAGGGCTCTTGCTCTTGATCTAGGGAATTGGATCTCATTTGTTTGTTGGACTATCTTATTGAAGCTTGGGCAATGTGTAATGGAAAGATGTTTCTTAATGTACACCAAAAATGAAAGAAATCGGACCATAAATAATGGAGTTCACTTCTCAGCCATCAGCTGCCCCTTAGCAGTATTTTCGTATGGTTTTTATGGTTGTATGTATTCTTGTTTTTTTGGTCTCACATGATAGAATGGAAGATATATTATAGAAATAGATATGATTTTGATTGGTTTCACAACTATAGACCAATATCTAACTTACCACTGCTTTCTAAAATCTTTGAAAATTTAATTCATAGACGGATCTATTCCTACCTCGTTTCACACAACATATTAAACCCTTGTCAGTTTGGATTCTGGAATAATAAAAGCACAAATGATGCTATCATACACATGCTAGAACTAATATATACCGCACTTGAAAAGAAAGAAGTCCCGCTGGGCATTTTCATTGATTTGCGTAAAGCTTTCGATACAGTCGACCATGAACTGCTGTACTCCAAATTAATGCACTATGGTATCAGAGGCCACTCCCTCAACTACCTAAAGTCATACCTTAGTAACAGAACTCAATATGTCTATGCAAATGATGCAAACTCTTCCACCCAACCAATCACAGTAGGAGTCCCACAAGGAAGCGTCCTTGGACTACTCCTCTTTCTCATCTACATCAATGATCTACTGAATGCATCACAGCTACTCAAACCCATATTATACTAGCAAACACAGTCAATGCTGAATTACAGAAAATATCTGCCTGGATGATGACTAACAAACTTACCCTGAACACTGATAAAACCTATTTCATTCAGTTTGGAAACAAAGCTACAAATGATCCACTTAACATAACGCTAAACAGATCATCAGTCACAAGACTCACAGAGGGAAAATTCCTAGGTATCCACCTTGACAGTAGCCTTAAGTTCCAGACACACATACAACAAATCACCAAGAAAATCTCCAAGACTGTAGGCATACTATCAAAGATAAGGTACTACATTCCACAATCAGCTCTCCTGGCACTGTACCATTCACTCATATACCCTTATCTTACAAATTATTTATATTGTGATAATAATAATTCTCCATGGGGAAGTGGAACAGAATTCTTCCTCCGTAAGCTATGCGTGTTCTAAGAGGCAACTAAAATGCCAGGAGCAAGGGGCTAGTAACCCCTTCTCCTGTATAAATTACTAAATTTAAAAAGAGAAACTTTCGTTTTTCTTTTTGGGCCACCCTGCCTTGGTGGGATACAGCCGGTTTGTTGAAAAAAAAAATAATAATACGTATAATAATAATAATAGTATAATAATATAATATAATATTAATGTAATACAATACATATAGTAATAATATGTGTACAATAATAATAATGTACTATATGATAATAATTATAATAACAGACAGCTTCAGTGATTACCACAACAATGCGAGAGTGGTTGTGGCTGCGTCCACCTGTCACATAATGACATATTTTATTCAGTCTAGAGTATATATCAGGTTTCTGTGTTATTTATATTGTTTATTATGTCATATTAGATGAATTGTGATAGATAAATAAGCCATAGAGTTGATATTAGGGAAATTATTGAAATATTTTATCGTGCCTGGAATTCCACTGGAACAGATTAATTCCATTTCAGCTAATTTAAATGAGGAAAATTGACTCTGCAAACGAGCAAATCCAGATGTGAGCAAGGTCACAGAACGGATTAAACTCGTAAGTAGAGGTTCCACTGTATTACTAAATGTAAAAGGAGAAACTTTCATTTTTCCTTTTGGGCCACCCTGCCTTGGTGGGATATGGCCAGTGCATTGAAAGAAAGAAGAATTATGTGTGTATTGAGTGTGTACATATAATATTTTACATAATACTTCAATAGAAAACATGCTACTGTAAAGTGTAACTGTGGTACTGAGTGTATATTGGTTCAGCTTGTGTTGTGCAAGGTTCTACATCTTCAAGTGATAGCAGAGGGAATCTTAGCCATTTTATAGACAGTTAACATACATACTCATGGAACTGGCAGAATTGAAACTCATGACAGGCCAGTCCTAAAACTAGCAGGCCAGTGCCTAACCATAGTACCATGCTGGTCTAATAAGATTAGATGTCCAGTTAGGTGTATTTCTGTACATTAAGAAGGTTATCATGCACCCCCCACTCTGACCACAAATATAGGTTTTTACAGATGAATCTCACAACAGTATGACTGTCAGGATCTAGCTCAAACCTCTTCAAAACATTTGAGCTACCAATAGATTTTTCCACACCCATGTTAGTGTGAGATTTGTCAGTAAAAATCTGCATTTGTGATCACAGTGGTGCCCATGCTAACCTTTCTGCTGTATATAGAAATACACATAGTTCGATATCTTTAATATGAATGGTTATAATCATAACCATGATTTTTAAAGGGGTGGACCAGTAAGCCAGTGGAAAGTCTCAGTCAGATGACCAAAAGCTCCAGTGGTGGGTCATCATATGACTAAGACCCACATCAGGAAACAATTGTCTTGCTTCCTGACAAACCTAACCTAACTTTAGTTTGATGAATCTTATTAGGTTGACATGGTACAGTGCACTGGCCTGCTGGTTTTAGAACTGGCTTACCATGGGTTCAGATCTTGCCTATTTCATGACTTGTTTGCAATCATGATATTACAATTTCATGAATGAATCACAAGTAATGTGTACTGTATATGCCTATAGTAAATATTGTACTGCATATGCCTATATTAAATATTGTACTGTAAATGCCTTTAGTAAATATTTTATATTGGTGAATTTTGTTAGTGCCTGATTCTAAAATATTGTTATAAAACTTGTTTTATTTTATTCATTTAAAAATTTAAAAAAGAGGAACACTGCAGTAGGTCTTTTCATATTATTATTAACATCTTTATCTATCCTGTAATTGTTTTACATGATGGTAGGATTGCTGGTGTCTTTTTTCTGTCTCATAAACATGCAAGACTTCAGGTACGTCTTGTTACTTCTACTTACACTTAGGTTACACTACACTTGCATGTACAAGCATATATATACACACACTTCTCTGGGTTTTCTTCTATTTTCTTATTAGTTCTTGTTCTTCTTTCCTCTCATCTCCATGGGGAAGTGGAACAGAATTCTTCCTCTGTAAGCCATGCGTGTCGTAGGAGGCGACTAAAATGCCGGGAGCAAGGGGCTAGTAACCCCTTCTCCTGTATATATTAGTAAATGTAAAAGGAGAAACTTTTGTTTTTCCTTTTTGGCCACCCCGCCTCGGTGGGATACAGCTGGTGTGTTGAAAGAAGAAGAAAGAAACACGCAAGATTTCAGGTACGTTTTGCTACTTCTACTTACACTTAGGTCACACTACACATGCATGTACAAGCATATATATACACACACCCTTCTGGGTTTCCTTCTATTTTTCTTACTAGTTCTTTTTTTTCTTCTTCTTCAACAAGTCAGCAGTCTCCCACCGAGGCAGGGTGACCCAAAAAGAAAGAAAATCCCCAAAAAGAAAATACTTTCATCATCATTCAACACTTTCACCACTTCATTTACATGTAATCACTGTCTTTGCAGAGGCACCCAGATACAACAGTTTAGAAGCATGTATAAAGATGTATAACATACCATTCCAAACTGCCAATATCCCAAACCCCTCCTGTAAAGTGCAGGCATTGTACTTCCCATTTTCAGTACTCAAGTCCAGCTTTATAAAAACAGCCGGGTTCCCTGAATCCCTTCACTAAATATTACCCTGCTCACACTCCAACAGCTCATCAGGTTCCAAAAACCATTCATCTCCAGTCACTCCTATCTAATACACTCACACATGCTTGCTGGAAGTCCAAGCCCCTTACCCACAAAACCTCCTTTACCCCCTCCCTCCAATCTTTTCTAGGATGACCCCTACCCCGCCTTCCTTCCCGTACAGATTTATAAGCTCTCCAAATCATTCTACTTTGATCCATTCTCTCTAAATGACCTAACCACCTCAACAACCCCTCTTCAGCCCTTTGACTAATACTTTTAGTAACTCCACACCTCCTCCTATTATCCACAGTCCACTGCCTCCAGCCGCCTCCTCGCTGCAGCATTTGCAACCCAAGCTTCATACTTAAATAAAAGTGTTGGTATCACTATACTTTCATACATTCCCTTCTTTGCCTCCATGGATAACATTTTTTGTCTCCACAGATACCTCAACTCACCGCTCACCTTTTTTTCTTCATCAGTTCTGTGGTTACCCTCATTCTTCATACGCCCATCTGGTGACAAGTCAACTCCCAAATATCTGAAAACATTCACTTCTTTCATACTCCCACCCTCAATGTGATATCCAATTTTTCTTTTTCTTGTTTTTGTTTATTTCCTCTTATCCCCATGGGGAAGTGGAACAGAATTCTTCCTCTGTAAGCCATGCATGACGTGAAAAGCAACAAAAATGCTGGGAGCAAGGGGCTAGTAACCCCTTCTCCTCTATACACTACTAATGTTAAAAAGAAAAATTTTTGTTTTTTCTTTTTGGGCCACCCTGCCTTGGTGGGAGATGGCCGGTTTGTTGAAAGATTATTTGGTGTAAGTCTGATGAGAGTTTATTTGTTTGGTACTATTTTGCAAAAAAAATATGTGGATTTTTATATTACCGTACTTTTTTAAAGATATTTGTCAGATTTATGCATTTTTATTCTCCTTTGTTTTTGAAATTAAATAAATAAATATAAATTTATATATTTTTTATTTTTTTATTAACACATCGGCTGATTCCC